GACCCACCTCCTAGAGAAATGGAAATAAAAACAAAAATAAACAAATGGGACCTAGTGAAACTTCAATGCTTTTGCACAGCAAAGGAAAACATAAAGAAGACAAAAAGACAGCCCTCAGAATGGGAGAGAATATTTGCAAATGAAGTGACAAAGGATTAATCTCCTAAATTTACAAGCACCCCATGCAGCTCAATATCAAAAAAACAAACAACCCAATCCAAAACTGGGCAAAGACCTAAACAGACATTTCTCCAAAGAAAATATAAAGATTGCCAACAAACACATGAAAGGATTCTCAACATCACTGATCATTAGAGAAATGCAAGTCAAAACTACAATGAGGTATCACCTCACGCTGGTCAGAATGGCCATCACCAAAAATCTAGAAATAATAAATGCTGGAGAGGGTGTGGAGAAAAGGGAACCCTCTTGCACTGTTGGTGGGAATGTAAATTGATACAGCCACTATGGAGAACAGTATGGAGGTTCCTTAAAAAACTACAAATTAGAACTATCATACGACCCAGCAATCCTACTACTGGGCATATACCCTGAGAAAACCATAACTCAAAAAGAGTCATGTACCACAATGTTCATTGCAGCTCTATGTACAATAGCCACAACATGGAAGCAACCTAAGTGTCCATCGACAGATGAATGGATAAAGAAGATGTGGCACATATATACAATGGAATATTACTCAGCCATAAAAAGAAACGAAATTGAGTTATTTGTAGTGAGGTGGATGGACCTAGAGTCTGTCGTACAGAGTGAAGTAAGTCAGAAAGAGAAAAACAAATACCGTATGCTAACATACATATATATGGAATCTAAAGAAAAATGGTTCTGAAGAACCTAGGAGCAGGACAGGAATAAAGATGCAGACATAGAGAATGGACTTGAGGACTCGGGGATGGGGAAGGGTAAGCTGTGACAAAGTGAGAGAGTGGCATGGACATATATACACTACCAAATGTAAAATAGATAGCTAGTGGGAAGCAGCTGCATAGCACAGGGAGATCAGCTCGGTGCTTTGTGACCCCCAGAGGGGTGGGATAGGGAGGGTGGGAAGGAGATGCAAGAGTGAGGGGATATGGGGATATATGTATATGTATAGCTGATTCACTTTGTTATACAGCAGTATCTAACACACCATTGTACAGCAATTATACTCCAATAAAGATGTTAAAAAAAGATTTAGATATAAGGATATATTCATATCTACCTGCATATATGTATCTACCTATATATGGAGAGACAGTATCTATGTTTCTATCTATCTATGGCACAGCTATATATATATATATATATATATATATGTTTTAATATAAATAGGCCATGAGATTTTTTAAAAATCCTATTTAAGAATTTTTCACAACTTGTCAAGATAAATTCAAAGCAGAATGCTATTTTTTGCTACTTCAACATTTCATGAGGATTAAAAATTTCAATAACATGTACAAATACTCATGATATATTATTTTTAACACAGAAAAAATTAAGAATATAAAAACCTGAAGGAAAGAAGAAAATACATAAAATGAAAACCTCAAAATACAGTTTTCATATCATGGAGGCTAAAATTTTAAACTAAAAACTTATTGGAAATGGTTGGCAACTGATACATGTTGTTATATTTGATACCAAGTGGATTAATAGTGTTTTTAACTCTGCTTCTCTCTTACTAACTTGTGGAGAGGTTTCTGGGCCTCACCATTAACAATATAATGAATTTAATTGAAGGTTGATTACAGAATGAAAAAATATGTAAAGAAATGGTCATGCAATTTTCACTGACAAGAGAACAAATATTATGAAGGCTATGACTGACCTAAAATTTAAAGCCTATAAGGTTTTATTTACAAACTTAAGATTTGTTTTCAGCTCATTGCTATATATTGAAATTACTGACTGTCAATGGGAAGACAGTAGATTACGCTCATCATTCTACCACACCCAAACTATATGATACACAAGAGATTTTTGTGTTCAAAGAAAATGGAATAGCAGCTATTACCCATTAAAATTTCCAAGACAGTAGTGGTCATTTTGTAATGTATAAAAATATTGAATCCCTATGTTGTACACCAAACAAACAAACTCATAGAAAAAGAGATCAGATTTGTGTTTACAAGAGTCAGAGGGTGGCGGGAGGGGCAAAAGGATGTAAGTGGTCAAAAGGTACAAAATTCCAGGTATAAGGTAAATAAGCACTAGGGATGTAATGTACTACCTGACAAAGATAATTAACACTACTGTATGTTTTATAGAAAAGTTGTTAAGAAAGTAAATCCTAAGAGTTCTCATCACAATGAAAAAAAATTTCTTCTTTTACTTTTTTTTTTTTTTAAGGAATATGAATATTTATTAAATCTCCAGATTGGCAAGGGTCTCCATGTTTAACAGGAAAAGCCAGGGAAAAAATCACGTAGGAAAAGAGCAATTTGTTTGATTACTTATAAAAGCGAAACCTAAAATTTAAAGGCAAATTCACAGAACTAGAAATATAAATGCCCAACAATCGTACAGAAAGAACAGTGATCAAGGTCATTAATAAGCAAAGAATTAAAAGCTCATACAGGATTCCACTTTCACACATACTCTGTATGTTTGTTTGCTTTATTTTCAGTTATACAAATCTTTTTCTTTTATTTTGCATCTATCTGAGATGATGGATGTTCACTAAACTTTCATAATGTATATAAGTCAAACCATTATCCCGTACACCTTAAACTTATACAGTGCTGTATGTCAATTATATCTCAATAAAACTGGAAGAAAAAAGATTCAAAAAGACATCCTAAATACTTTACACAAAAGAGAACGGACTACTATCAGCCAATTGTTGTTTATTATAAATATAACCTGATTTTTGGAACCTGCTGTAAGAAGTAAGCAAATTTATGTACCTCGAGGATGTAAATATTTCTTACAAAAACCCTATTTAAAGAGATTCTAACCATTCATTCATCTCTAGGGAAGGTGTGGAAATTGAGTTGAATATAACCAAAGCTGAGATACAGATGGAAAATCAGAGAAGACTTAGTGTCTTGAAACCTTCATTGCCACATATGATGATCTAAGGATTAAGTATAGTATTTCTCAAAAGTTTAGCAAACACAGCAAATGCAGTCAAAAATATTAGGAAACTATATATTGGTGTGGATAGCCATTTCAGTGTACTTCTGAAAGTATTCAGAAAGCATGTTCTTCAAGAAGTACACAAAGGTTTATTTGATGGGATTATTTAAAACAACCCATACCATCTCCAACGACTAAATCTTCATGTCTGAAAGTTATAGAGCTAACAAGTTTTTACCTTAGGTAATTACTATAAGAAAGGTGGGAAAACTTAGTAATTTGGCAACATCACTGTCATTGGTAGCCTATTTGGGCAAAGTTACTTGAAAATGACTCCCCTTCTCCACCAACTTCTGTTGAAAGTGAACATTTAATTAGTACAGCACATCTGTCTGTATTCGCAAAGACAGCAATCTAGTGGTGCTAAGTCTTGCTCCTTATTAGTAAGGAAGCCAATGTCTCCCTTTTTGAGGTGCCACCTCATGGTCCCAATTTCTCCTGGACCCGTTTAAAAATTGTTTTTTCTCCTGTGTCCTGATAAAGAGATAACTATTGTACTCAAGCAAAATTTGCCGCCTCAAAATGTCTCTTTGGCATGTGGATTATTTCAAACTGAAACCAATCAAAGCCCAAAAGACTCAGGAAGGAACTCTGACCTTCCCCCTAACTGCCTAAAAGAATGTAGAGAGAGGATGTATTCCAGGAAGGGAGCTATCACCATAGACTAGCGTGAACTAGGTGTGTAGACAGGAGGAACCTAGCAAAGTCTGTTTGTTAAAATTTCTCTCTGTGCCCCATTGTCTCTGCATGGCCCAGCAAATACTTATTTACCAAACATTTGCTTGTCTATCTTCATGTGAATGTCCTTCCTCCTCTGAGAAGTTCCAAAACACTAATCCTAACATCCTCTTTTGCCTATAGCTAAAGATGTAAGTGGTCTCATAATTAAAGTTATGTCATTTAAAAATAATCTTTAATAAAGATTTTATTCTGCAGTGATAACAGGGTCACGGAAATAGGACATTTTCACTGAGTGAAATGATCCTATCATCATCCCATTAAATAATTTTCTAGGTAGAAGAGAAAGCTTTTGCAAGTGGCACTTGAGTGCATTTCAGTAGTTTAACCATCCATTTTCTATGCCTCAATGGAGATTTACCCAGAGATTAGGTGAGCAAATAATTGATTTACAGACAGAAATAATTTATTTTCTGTTGGAGCAAAAGTTGAAGATTCTAAATAATCATTCTATGAAGAAATTCATCTGCATATTTAAAAATGAAAATAACCATTATTTATAAGTTTAAATATTTGATTTAAATAAATGAGTACTAACAATAATTGAAAGTTAATTAAATCAAATTAAAATGCAATTAACAACAATATTGTCCTCATATTTTATTTAAATGAAGACTCAATATTTGACTTTATCAAATAATTCTGGACATGGATTTAGTAATACTTTAATAATTCACATAAGACAATCCTATTCTTTGTCAGTATTATTTAAAACCCCAAATCTATGCCAGTTGCTCGAAATATATTTCAGAGTGAAAGGCCTGCTATAGAAACCAGGAAGAATCAATACTGAAAGAGTCCAGAGAGCACAGTCCTGCTTTTATCAGATGTGTGAGGAAAGCATGTAGGCTAAGGCTAATTTTGCTCTAGTAATTCTTGAGACATGCAGGTAAAATGCTTATCGGGGCAGCCACTATGATACCACTTAACTAAAAGATGTTTCCTATAAGCATTTAAGGCACATTTTACTGGATTTAAAATAAAATTGCTGTAATTTGAATAATTTATCCCCAAATGCTCATTTAATATAGATTTTTTTTTAGGAATAGCAATTTAGGTTTACAATAAATGCCCCAACTGTTTGCGAAAAGGAGTCTATGAACAATTAATGGGGTTCTTACCAGAGCAATACATTTCACTTCAATAGTGTTTAAGGGTGGTCCAGGAGCACTATGGATTTCAAGATAATACCAGATTTGTAAACTGCTAATAGCATCATCTGAAAAAAGAAAAAAAACATAGCACATCTTAATTTAGGTTTCAGAAAACCATATTTAACATAAAAATTTGAGAAACATGAATTAGATATCATTTTCAAATTCTTTCTGATGGACCCATTTGTCAAGAGAGCTGTGAGGAAGGTGAAAAGCTGATTTCATCACAGTTTGTGAGCAATAAGAGAAGCCCCAGCCTGCATGGCCATGAGAATGGGCTGTGAAAGCTCCCTGCCTCATGCCTGCCCCATAACTCACTAAGTTCCCCACAAAAATAGGAGTGTTTTACTTTTAAGGATTAATATTTCAAAAGAAATAACTAATCTTTCGCCCTTAATTCCCAAAGTATTCACATATTATACGTAGAAATACCTAACTATGGTATTACAATATACAAGGCTACATTTCTAGTACCATAAAAATTTAGCCTAAGGAAAAAATCAGAAATAGTTTATGAAATTTCTGGTTTTTTGGGAGTGTGAAAGAGGATCCTAGCAATTTAGCCCAAAAAAAGCTGAAATGGGGTATGGACTGTTAAAAAAAAAAAAAAAAGAAGGAGGAGGAGGAAAAAAAGGAGAAGGTGGGGAGGGGGAAAAGAAAAAGAAGAAGAAAGAAAGAACAGGCCCAAGGTGGAGCCACTTGCCTCTGGGACAGTAAACCAAGACTTAACTGCAGTTTCAACCTCTCCCAGGAATGGACTTTTTGCAATTTCCTGGTCAGCTCTAGTGAGGTAAACTTGCCTGAAACAATCCTTTCTTTTGTCCTGCTAATAACCTCCTTGTCCATACCCCACCCCCTCCGCCAGCGTTTCTATAAAACCTGGGAGTAGCTTTCTATTTGCTAGATGCAGGGTTTGTACTGGCATCAAACCCACATGTTTTCTATTTGTTCTCATCTGCTCAGCTTCTCACTTTGATATTCTTTATTCTCCAATGTTGAGCTAGATTACAGTTTAAGATGACCTTCAGTTTCAGTTAATTGTTTGCATATCATATCAGTATTGTCAAGTTTTAAAGATTCCAAGAACTGCAATGTTTGATTAACTTACTTAGGTAAATCACTAAGCCCCTCTGGGCCTTAATTTCCTTATCTATGAAATAAGGGGCCCAGACCAGTGCAGTTCTCAGACTCTCTCTTCTGAAAAAGTGTTTTGTTTTGCACTGCATTGCAATGCATTGCATTGTATTATGTTGAATTGTTGAATTACATTGAATATATTGAATTGTATTGCATGGCTCAAATAATTGGCTCAGTAAGTCCAAAATCTGCACGTTAGTCCAGCAGGTTAGAGACCCAGGGAAGAGTTGGAGTTCAAGTCCAAAGGCAGTCTACGGGTAGAATTCCTTTTTGCTCTGCAGAGGTCAGTCTTTGTTCTATTAAGACCTTCAACTGGTTAGGTAAGACCCACGCACATTATGGAGGGCAACCTTCTTTGAACGTCTAAAGATTTAAATGTAATTCTCATACAAAATCACCTTTACAAAAACATCCAGAATAATGTTTAACCTAATATCTGGGCACCATGACCCACCCAAGGTGACACATAAAATTAACAATCACAGGGACAAGAACACCTCCTATTTGTAATTGCTGTGTCTATCACATAAGGTAGTATTGTGATGAAGCTAATTTAATTCCTACAGAGCTAAAAACATACAATGAATATGAATTTATTGGTGAGAGTGGGATTAGTGATAATTTATTAATGAGATGAACAACAAAAATAATAATTATTAAACTTTGCTTAACTACAAGCTTTAAACATATTAAAACTTTTTTTCTAATTCTAAAATTAGGAGTATTCACTATAGCAATTTAAGAAATTACTGAAAAACTTTAAAAACTAAAAATTATTCACCATCTCATGACCAAGAGTACTTATTTTTTTGTATAAAATTTCAAGAGTAATATATCAATAAAGACATAGATATATAGACATATACATATATAAATACACTGGGATATACACATATATAATTAATAGATCCATATATATGTGCGCATTTGTATATACACATTTCTATCATTCAGAGAATATTCACTATTAAATTTAAGTTCATTACTAGTCATTAGGGAAATGCAAGTTAAAACCACAATGAGATATCACACTTGTTAGAATGGCCATGATCAAAGAGACAAGAGATAACAAACACTGGCTTGGATGTGGAGAAAAGGGAACCCTTGTGCACTGTTGGTGGGACTTTAAATTCATATGGCCGCTATACAAAACAGTCTGGAGGATCCTCATAAAATTAAAAATAGAACTACCATACGATCCAGCAATCTCACTTCTGGGAATATATCCAAAGGAAGTGAAAACACTAACTGGAAAAGATATCTGTATCTTCCTGTTCAAAGCAGCATTATTTACAATAGCCAAAACATGGGAACAACCTAAGTGTCATCAACGAATGAATGGATAAAGACGTTATAGTATATTCAACAAAATCTTATTCAGCCATTAAAAAACAAGGAAATCCTACCATGTGTGACAACGTGGATGGACTATGAAGGCATTATGCTAAGTGAAATAAGTCAGATAGAGAAGAAAAAATACTGTATGATCTCATTTATATGTGTAGTCTAAAATAAGCAAACAAAACAATAACAAAAAACCCAAACTCATAGAAAAAGAGATCAGACGTGTGGTTACCAGAGGCAGAGGGTAGGGGTAGGGGGAAATGAAGGAAGGTGGTCTAAAGGTATAAACTTGCAGTTATAAGATAAATAAGTACTAGGGATGTAATGTACAGCATGATGACTATAGTTAACACTGCTGTATGATACATAGGAAAGTTAAGAGAGTAAATTCTAAGAGTTCTCTTCATAAGTAGAAAATTGTTTTTTCTTTCTTTTCTTCTTATTGTATCTATATGAGAAGATGGATGTTAGCGGAACCCATTATGGTAAGCATTTCACAATATGTGTAAATCAAACCATCAAGCCGTACACCTTAAACTTATACAGTGATGTATGACAATTATTTTTCAATAAAAATGGAAAAAAAAATATGGGCAGGTAATACCTATTCAAAAACATTTTAAATCGAGACTTCCCTGGTGTCGCAGTGGTTTAGAATCCGCCTGCTAATGCAGGGGACACAGGTCGAGCTCTGGCCTGGGAAGATCCTACATGCTGCGGAGCAACTAAGCCCGTGCACTACAACTACTGAGCCTGTGCTCTAGAGCCCACGAGCCACAACTACTGAGCCCATGTGCCACAGCTACTGAACCCTGTGTGCCTAGAGCCCGTGCTCCGCAACAAGAGAAGCCACCACAATGAGAAGCCCGTGCACCGCAACCAAAAGTAGCCCCGCCTCGCCGCAACTAGAGAAAGCCTGCGTGCAGCAACAAAGACCCAACGCAGCCAAGAAAAAAAAAAAAAATTAATCAAATTTAAAAATTAAGTTTCAATTATTCAACATAATAAATCATATAAAAAATTCTTATATTAAAATATTTGTGCATATCACTGATCATTTTATTTTAAAAAATCTAAGCTGTGTGATGACAGGTTGCAAGATAGATTAAGAGCTAGGAAAAATGTATCTACAGGTATCCGCAGTTCTTCAGACAGGCCTTTCCATATTCCTACTTAAACAGAATTAACCTTTCCATCCCCTGTAATACTTTGGTCTTTTTCTTACTGATTGCTCAGTAGTACATTTCTTTTCAATTAGGGAAATTTCAGTTATGCAAAATGAGTAAGTTCTGTAGATCTAATGTACAGCAAGGTAATTATAGTTAATAGGGTGGTAGTGTATACTTGAAATTTGCTTAGAAGGTAGATCGTGTGTGTGTGTGTGTGTGTGTGTGTGTGTGTGTGTGTGTGTATGTGTCTATACAGGCTTATTAATTGTGACACATGTACCACTTTGCTGGGGAATATTAACGATGGGGGAGACAATCCATGTGTTAGGGCAGGATGTATATGGGAAAACTCTGAACCTTCCTCTCAGTTTTGCTGTGGACCTAAAACTGCTCTAAAAATTAAATATTTTTAAATATGCCATTGGGATTGTGATAGGTCATTACATTGAATATAGATCACTTTGGATAGCAGGGACATTTTAACAATATTCAATTAGAAGGTAGATCGTTAAGTGTCTTTACCTTCTTCCATGAAAAAGTGGTAACTATGTGAGATGATAAATATGTTAATTAGGTTGATTGTGGTGATTATTTCACAATGTATACGTATATCTAATCAAGCTGTCCACCTGAAATATGTACAATTTTTAATACTCAGTTGTACTTCAGTAACGCTGGGAGAGAAAGAAATGAAAACAACTAAATAAGAATTTTCTAATCTTCCAAATAGGGAAATATGAAAAATAATGGTAACACCCAGCTTTAATGAGGGTCAGGTTGAAAGAGATAATATTATACATTATAATGGAAATTTGAAGAGCACTTTAACATGTTTAAAATGTTTAAGAATTGCTTATCCCCTTCGAGCCAATGATTTCATTCTAAGAAATTTGTTGGAATAAAATAATCGATGATATGCACAAACATTTTAATATAAGAATGTTTCTTATATGATTTATTATGTTGAATAATTGAAACTTAATTTTAAAAAAATTTTAACAGCCCACACAGTCACAAGTAGATATAATTCCTAACATGACTCCCCCAACCTCCCCTGCAAAGAACACTTTAATCAGTAGTCTTTGAGAAGCACTTTCCCCTGCCTCTCGTGCCTTCCCCTTGTGTGCCCCTTAGATAAGATCCCCAAGATACAAATAAGATACAAAGAAAACTTGTTATTTTTTGGAATCAATTCTCACTTCCTGTCTTCTCTCTCAAGAGAGTCATCTAATGCTAGTCTCTGAAATGTTTTCCACCTTTCATGGTATTTCTCTCTCCCCATCACCACCCTAAAAGACATTCTCCTCTTCACTTCAAACCCAGTTAGCTGTTGCAGTGGCCTAGCTTTTGCCCCAACTGCTCTTCCCTTCCCAAACTATTTTGAATAGTGCCTAAATATCACTCATAATTCACGTATTCTGTGATGGTACATTTTATGTGTCAACTTGGCTGGACTATGGTGTCCAGTTGTTTGATTACACACCAATCTAAATGTTGCTGGGAAGGTATTTTTTTTTAAAAAATATGTGAATACTTTAATTGGTAGACTTTGAGTAAAGCAGAATACTCTGCTTAATGTGAATGGGCCAACTCCAGTCAGTTGGAGGCCCTAAGAGCAAAGACTGAAGTGACCTGAAGGAGAAGCAATTCTTAGCCAAGCCTGAAACATGGAAACCCTGCTTGAGCTTGTAGCCTGCCCAGTCTGCCCTGGGGAATCTGGACCCATGACTGCAACAGCAACTCTTACCTAATTGTCTACCCTGCTCGCTTGCCCTACAGATTTTGGACTTGCCAGTCTCCATAGTTATGTTAGCCAATTCCTTAAAATGTCTCTCTACAGATATAGGTTATTGTATTATATTGTATTGCATTATATTGTGTTGTATTACATTATGTTATATTATATTATATTATATTATAGTGGTATCTGTTTCTCTGAAGAATCCTGATTAAACAGAAATTCATTCAATAAAGATTTCTTCTTTGGTACACCTCTGTTTCTAGAACTTTGCCCCTGTTGACCCACTCTTCTCTATTGCCCTCTTCCATCCCTGCTACTCACCCGTAAGAGAACTCATTTACCCACTCTCTAAGAAATCTGCCCTATCTATTCCAACTCTCCATACTCTCATTTTCCTTTGAATTTCTACTGAAACGATATGATGTTTAACAACATTCAAATAAAACTTTATAATAAGGGAAAGGGAAATAATAGCATTTGCTTTCTTTTGCATATGAGGGAGACTGCTATCATCTCCTATATTTAGAAAAGGAGAACACATTACATTGTTAAAATAATATACTTATTAACATTTTATTAGAAATTGACTGAAATTTTTTGTTTAGTAACAGAAATATTTGTAAAGTTTTTCACTTATGAAAGATTAGGCAGCCTTCAAGCTGAAGTATTATAATCTACTAATTTTAATAGCAGTACAAATCCAGAAAGTAAACTACATCAAGTTAATCCTGAAATAATACAATTCTTACAGATGATATATGAAATACACATTTGTATACGTATTATGAAAGTAAAGTATCTATTGATTTATAAGTAAATGATGAGGGTTTATAAAAATTGATCATGAAACTCTCCATAATAATAAATTTACCTGGTTTTTCCTCATCAAACTTGTCAGATGGTTCCGATAATGACTTCTCAAAGGAGGGTATTAGATCTCTCTCTTTATCTTCATTTGAGTCTTCCTGAGAATCACCATTTTTCCTGCTTTTAACGGAAAACAAAATTGTACCTACAACACATAGGTGCAAGATGTCAGATTAACCAGTGTTTCGTTTTCTAAACTAACAATTAAACAGAACAACTTAATGGAAAGTTCAAGGAAATATTTTAAAATGTCCATTAAAATGGTAATTTTTAAACTGCTTTCTCATAGTAATTAAGAAAATGCAGCAAATAATAGAACTGTAACAGCTTTCAGAAAACGTACTGGTCTTGGGTGAGTATTCTTACATATTTTCTTCTTAAGTCATTTTTAACACTCATTTATTACCTCATTAAAATACTTTGTTTAATACAATATTCTAAGCATGAACTTTCCTCTAAACATTTAATATGTAAAATGCTAAATTTTGTTACAAAAAACTGTTAGTGTCAAAAATTGGCACTCTTTATCTGGAATTTTTGTTATACTAAAATTGACTTATAAAAGATCGGTATTAACTCTTAAATTGAAGCTAACATACATATGGAAATAATTCAGAAATTGGCCCTGATATCTCAATAACAGCTTGCTATATTCACAGTCTTACTATCCATGTTTAGAGGATGGTTCAAATCTTCTTTCCCCTTCAATTTCCAATACTTCCTTCTCCCTCCTCATTCCTAGCTGATTATCTTGTTTCTATTTCACTAAGAAACTGGACACTTCCAAGAAAGAATTCCTTCACAGTCCCACCACCACATTGAACAATCCTTCCACAATGGTGACCTCATCCTCTGGCTTTCCTCTTGTAAGAATGATTGATAGATACACTTTTACCTGGGACCAGCCCTTGGACCTGTGCACTAGATCCCATCTACTCTAGTCTATCCAAGGATCTGGCTACTGTAACATTCCCCACTCCCTTCTGCATCTTCAATTCTCCCTCTGAAACATGCTGTATTAACACCCAACTTCCAAAAAGCCTTCTCTCCATCGAACGTGTACGTGTAAATCTATGTATTTTTATATGTTTTTGTGTACACACACACACACACACACACACACACACACGCACACACTGCGTAATACCATGTTAGGCTTAGTACTAACATCAGGATGAAATACCCAACATAAATCACAAAAATGATTCAAGGCATAAAATAAATACATTAAAAAAAACTCAAAGTGATATCTTGGCACCGAGCTAAGCAGGTTTAATCAATGACTTTCAAATTGTCAAAGAATAAAATATTGTCATGATATTTAAATTTTTAGAGATAATTAAAGATAAAGACAAATAGGAGATAAAGTTACAGTTCAGTTTTTTTTCGTTTTTAAAGATTTTTTTGATGTGGACCGTTTTTAAAGTCTTTATTGAATTTGTTACAATATTGCTTCTGTTTTATGTTTCGGTTTTTTGGCCACGAGGCATGTGGGATTTTAGCTTCCCGACCAGGAATTGAACCCTCACCCCCTGCATTGGAAGGCAAGGTCTTAACCACTGGACTGCCAGAGAAGTCCCACAGTTCAATGTTTAAAGCTAAAATAACACATACCAAAATTTAATAGAGATAACACATAGGAATATAGATTCAAAAATCTTATCCCCCCCAAAAAAGCCCAGGAATTAAAAGAAAAAAATGTATTGCTCTTTCAAATTGATAACTTTTAACACTTTTGATAACATTAATTTTTGATGAGAGTGCTCAGTAACAACCCCCATCTCAGATACTGCTGGTAAGAGTAAAAATTGGTACTACATATTTTGGGGGGTAATTTTTCAACATCCACCAAGTTGTTGCACATCTCCTTTGACATGTCAGTTCTGGTTTTTTATGCTATAAATACCTTATATCTTAAATCTTACCCCATAGGTAAACTAGCAGAGTTATTTACAAAGATGCTGTTGCAATATTATCGGTAATTACAAAATAAAAAAAAAAGAGGAACTTGATTTCCACCTATGCATGACTAGTTACATGAATTCAGATAAACATTTATTTGGATTATTGTTCATCTAGTCAAAAGAAAAACCTATGAAAACCGCACTGAAAATACATCCATGATAATTTGAGTGAAAGCAGCCACTTACAGAGTTTTATGTCTCATATGGCCCATTGTGTGTGGGGGGGACTGTGTGTGTGCATATTTGTGTGTGTGTGTGTTTAAAAGATATATACAAATATGAGTTGGCATTTGGACAGAAATTTCTTTTCTCACAGTTCTGGAGGCTAGATGTTTGAAATCCAGGTGCCAGCAGAGTTGGTTCCTTCTGGAAATTCTGAGGGAGATCTGTTCCATGCCCCTCTCCTAGTTTCTGCTGTTTGCCAGCAATCCTTGGCATTCCTTGGTTTGTAGACGTATCACTCCAGTCTCTTCCTTCACCTTTGCATGGTGTTTTCTCCCATAGCTATCCATGTCTATTTTCCTCTTCTTATAAGGACAACAGTCATATTGGTTCAGGGCCCACCCTAATTCAGCATGACCTCATCTTAATTTGATTATATCTGCAAAGACCCTATTCTAAATAGGATCACTTTAACAGATATCAGTGGTTAAGACACTAGGTCCCTGGGCAGGCAGAACTGCTCCCAGACTGCAGCTGTGAGGGGCTGGAGCCGGATTATAGGAATGCTTCCAGATGTACAGACAGAACATAGTCAGTGGGCCTACCTCTGGGGCATGGACAAGCTTGTCTCACGGTAGGAGTGTTCCCAGACCATGGCTGAGAGTAGCTGGAGCTATGTTACAGGGTCATTTCAGGATCTGCAGTTGGAACAAAGTTGGAGGGCCTGTCACAGGGGTGCAGACAGGTGTGTCTTCCACCTGGTCCCCAAATGGGTAGAAATCATGGCTAAGAGGGGCTGAAGCTGGGTCATGGGCCACTTCAGGGTCCACACATGGGACTGAATTCTGTGGGCCTGTTATACAGGGCATGGGCAGGCATGACTCCCGACAGGTTCCTTGGCAGATAGTGTTGATGGCAGGACCAAAGTCAAATGGGACTGTAACAGTCCACGGGGCTGTTTCCTGGTTGTAGCCAGCACCACAGTTGGCAAGTCCGTCATCTGAGCATGAGCCTGCCTTTTCAAAATGGCCCTCCTCGGTTTTGGACTCCACCAAGGTTTCATGGACTCCTACCTGGATCGCAAAGCTCCCACAATGGCACTTTTGTCCTTGGATGGCTTCCAAATGACTGTGCTGAAGAGGGATACAATTGGTGGATCTTCTACTCTGCCATCTTGCTGATGTCACTACTATCATATCATTTTCAATTCCTTTATTTTGAAATATGACAGTCACTTAAGTTATAGGTTAAATTTCAGGTCCTACTATAAACATGGCTTTCTTAGTTTACATAGGAGCTTGGTATATGCTCACAAACACATTGTGGAAAGACAGGGTATCTAGTGGAAAGAACACAGGCTTCTGACAGAATGAGGATTCAAATTCTTGTTCTCCTATGGCTAACTTAGCCTTGAACATGTTACTTATCTCATTTTTAAAATGGTGTTAGTATTTTTAAATGGATTAAATGAACTGTGAGGATTAAATGACTGTAGTTCATGCTTATGTAGGACTTACTGTATGTCAGGCATTGTTCTAGGGATTTACAAAAATTGACAAATTTTTCCAAAACATACCTATGAAATTAGTCCTATTATTATCCTCATTTTAAAGAAATGCAACTGTGACACAAGAAAGTTCAGTAGCTTGCTCAAGGTCAATCAGCTTGTAATAATACAGCTGGAATTTGAACATGAGCATTGTGATTTAAAGTCCATACTCTTTGTTGAATTAATATATTTTATTTTTCAAACAGTTTTAGGTTTACAAAAAAATGAGTGTAAAGTACAGAGAGTTCCCATATACCTCCCTTAGTTTCCCCTATTATAAGCATCCTGCATTAGGTGGTACATTACTTATAAGTGATGAGTCAATAACAATACATCATTATTAACTTAAGTCCATAGCTTACATTCTGGTTCACTCTTTGTGTTATGCATCCTATGGCTTTGACAAATGTAAAACTTCATCTATCTACCATTACGGTATCATGGAGAATAGTTTCATATCCCCCAAAATCCCCTGTACCCCACTCATTCATCCCTCCCTCCCAACCTCCCCAAAGGACTGGCAACCACTGATCTTTTTCAGAATGTTGTATAGATGGCCTTTTCGGATTGGCTTCTTTCACTAAGCAACATGCATTTAAGCTTCCTCCTGTCTTTTTGTCATTTATTTTTATCACTGAAAAATATCCAATTGTATGGATATACCACTATTTATCCATTCACCTATTGTAGGACATCATGGTTGCCTCCACATTTTGGCAATCATGAATAAAACTGTTATAAACATTCATGTGTAGATTTCTGTGTGGACATAAATTTTCAACTCATATGGGTAAATACCAAATGGGCTTGTGATTTCTGGATCATGTTATGAATATGTTTAGTTTTGTAACATACTGCCAAAATGTCTTCTAAAGCACCTGTACCATTGTACCATTTTGTATTCTCACCATTAATGAATGAGAGTTCCAATTTTTCTACATCTTTGTCAGCATTTGGTATTGTCAGGGCTTCTGAATTTAGCCATCCTAATACTTATGTAGTGTTACCTCATTGTTGTTTTAATTTGCAGTTCCCTAAAGATATATGATGTTGAACATCTTTTTGTATGCTTATTTGCTATCAGAATATTTTTTTTGGTGAGGTATCTCTCCAGATCTTTTGCCAATTTTTAAAGTTGAGTTATTTTACTGTTGTTGATCTTTAGTACTTTAAAATATATTTTGGATACCATTCATTTATTAGATATCCAAAAAGTTTACAAGAGACAAATAAGGATACTATATATTAATAAAAAATTCAATTAACTAAAAAATCAAAAAACAAACAAACAAACCTGAGCTTATATATAGATACAGAGAACAGATTGGTGGTTGCCAGAGGCCAGGGGTGGGGGTGGGATAAGTGAAATGGGTGAAGGGGTCAAAAGGTACAAACTTCCAGTTAAAAAATAGGTCATGGGGATGTAATGTACAGTGTGATGACTACAATTAATAATACTGTATTGCATAC